CCGGAGGGCCGTCAGAAGGAGGGGTAAAAGGAAGATCCCAAAGAAGGTATCAGACGAGGCCGAGTTTTCGTCATGCCACAGGAGCTGGACAAGATCATTCTGCCCTGCCTCGAGGCTTTCGCACTGCGGCTGACCACCACAAACCTCCTTCATTCAGGAGAGTATCTTCTGTGTTAAAGACGAGGATAGATACGCAACAGATGGTAGGTTTAGGGTGTTGAACCATAAGCCGGCTCAGAATGCAAGCATTTGGGCTTTCATGAAGGCCCACGCCCATGACGCAGTCGCGCAACATGACACTGCCTTGACTCGCCCTCGACCAATCCGGAGTAGAACGCTTCATTTTCTTGGTGAATCAAGATCGTTGCACAAACAGCACGGACACAGACTGTGCTTGAGCTTTTGCTATCCAAAGCGCTTCTGCTCGAGGGAGCAAGCCCCAGCAAGTGTCAAGCCCAGATATATCTGATATGTCATATTGGATCGATAGTGTTCAGAGGGCCGTCTAGATGACTATATGCACTTGTATGCATTCATGTCGCTACAGTCTTTGACGACGCTTTGCCCTGAGTGTGGCTAAATCTAGAGCAGTGTTGACCACGAAGCTGTGAGTTACATTGAAATACAAAGTGAATGGGAGAGTTGACACAAAGACGGCTCGCCGCTTGGGTGGGGCAGCGTCTGAGCATGTGCCAACATGTTTGCTTCAATGGCATATAGCAGACTTGGTTGTGAAGGCTTGCGCGGGTGAGCCATGGGCTGGAGCCAGAGAGCAAGATCCACCCTGGCTGCCGGACTACGTCGTAATCCGGAAGCCAGGGTGGGTCTGTGGAAACTCTCAAGCATGGGTATGTGCTGGCGGAGAATGGCCGGCAGCGTACGGAAGATGCCGTGCTAATCCATGATGACAGGAAATGCCTGCTTCGCTGTCTTGGACTCTTAGACGGTCACCAAGCACTTCCTTCCGGAGCAGCTCGATCATCACCTCCAACAAGACTGCCGCAAGCTGCAGTCTTGTTGGAGGCAATGGTCCAGCTGTTCTGGAAGGAAGTGCTTGGCCTTCTGTGCTCCGTGCATCAAGCTTTGGCTGCAATGGACGAGCTGATGCAGAAAGACCTACTGGAGGAAGCCAAGCTGTTTACAGTGGGCACTTCATGGATCACTGTCAGGTGTGTTGCCCTGCTCCAGACCGACGAGCTCACTACTGTTAACTTGGGAGACGGCAGAGCAGTTCTTTGTGAACATGGGAAGGTAAGCTTGCACACATCAGATCATATCCCCGAAATGACCTGGACAATCAGTGGTTGAAGGAACGTCGCGGGTGGCTATGTGGAGGGGACATTGCAGGTTTCACGCGCCCTTGGAGACATAGTCGACAAGACCGGAAAGACGATCCATGGTCTCAGCGGAACGCCCGAGGTTGCTGTCATCAGAGCTGAAGGCAACGAGAGACATCGTCATCCTTGCCACACGCGCCGTTCCCGAAACGGGATCTGGCCCAGAATCGCTTCGGGCTGAGCTCCAAGACGAAGTGAAGCCTTCGACTTTGTATGTGCATGTCGTGGACGTCTCGCAGATTTATTCCGGCTGTTCCAGGAGGCTCTCCGAGAAACATCGGGTTTCGATCGGGCTGCTAGAATCCTGCTGCATCTGAGAAAGCTGCGAGTCTCTGGAGGTCATGGAGTTTGCCAACCGATACCTTCGGATGGATGCACTGTGGGAAACCCGGCCTTCCAAGGAGCTGCCCCGAAGTCCCACGGCCTTCAAACCGTGCTTAGTCCGAGGAGCCTAAGACTTCGGCCCAGGCTTTGCCTTCTTCACATCTCTATGGGCTGCCTTCTTCCGGAGGCCAGGGTTCAGCGTTCCCTGCAGCTGCGAGAGTACTGAAACCAAGCTTCGTTGAACACGCAACCCTAAACCCTGAACCGTGTCCTCGGAGAAAGGCGCCCGTGGAGCAGCTGGGACCTGCCATGCGCAGCAACGCAGCACTCCTGGCCCTGGGCTCAGCTTCCAAGTGCTGAGTTCTTTCACGGCGTTCCTGCAGCCGAGAAGCCGTTGATGCCCATAGTGTCTGTGAAGCCGTTGATGCCCATAGTGTCTGTGAAGGTCGCCTCCGGGCACTGACGCTGCCGATGGCGATTGGCCTGGTGCACCTTTTTGAGGCCTGCGTTTCTGTGCTGTATGTCGCATAGGCGTGTACCAGCATCACGATTACGTGAAGTGGGTTCCGAAGACATCCAAACCCAAAGCTGAAATATTTCGAGCCCACGCGCGTGCGGGAAGGCCGGGCTGCTCCTCATGAATGCCGCCGCCATTCCGAATGAGAAACGATTCTTGCACTTGGCCTCGGACGACCTGACTGAATGATTTTTCTGTTTGGCGAGCACCGGATTGATCTTGCACTGCTTCGGGCCCATGCAGCAACTCGCGGTGGCATATCGGTGTCGCATCTTAGCGTCATCTGAACATTGAACTAAGCTGCTGCCAAGACAGAGAATTTGTCAAGTCGAAATAGTTGTCAGGACTTGTGCCTGTGAGCCATGGGCAACATCTGCCAATGTTGCGGAGCTAGGGAGAAAGATCCTTCGTGGCTTCCAGACTATGCGTCTGGTGGCAACAGCCAACATGGTTATTCACTCGCGAAGAATGACCGGCAGCGTATGGAAGATGCCGT